CGATCCTTTCCGGGTAGTGGTTTTGAAGTGGTTCAGAAGCCATCATCTCAACCGTATATATCCAATTCAATCATTTCTATAACAAATACAGGCCCCGTAAGTGAAACCTGATGTGAAACTTTGTTTCCACGTGTCACTAGTGTCACAGTGTCTGCAAAAATCATTGAACAATCAAAGAGCTAACACTGACACATCGCTGCCTTTTCGTGAAGCCATCGGTTCTCATGCAGTAGGCCAAGTTGACCAATCTTGTTTCATGGCCCAGTGCGAATGGCCCCCACATACTCTTGTGGCACATACTTGTGTCATGGATCATCACGCTCTCGACTCGGCTATGGAAAAGGGGCCCGCAACATCCGCAAACAGACCGGCGTCCTTCCTCATGTCGCGACTGAAACGGCTGCGAAACGGCGGCAAGCGGATGACCGAAACGCCCGACGGCGACTCCACCCATCCAAGCGACCGCGGTGAGGATGGTTAAGGCCAATGCCTCGCTGAGGCCGGCGCCAAAGGAGGCAGTTGTCAGGACAATGAACTTGGCAGGAACGACATTGGTCCCTATACAGCAGTTTTCAGCAATTCTGCTCGGAAACTGACCAAGGTCCAAGCTCTGCTCACCTCTGCCGTTGATTGACTCCGTCGAAGCTGGAAACCCAAGTGTTGCCAACATGATATGCAGCTGGTCTTGTCACCCCCCAAACCAAATTATAGGGAACACGTAAAGCATGTAAAAACTTGCACCATTGGAGTTTTCTGAGGTTCGATGGCGTTGTTCCATTTTTGAATGCGACTAAATAAACACTGCATAGCAGGACAAATAATACTGGCTTTACATAATTTTCCCCAAGCATGACCAAACACAAGTTGTAGCCAATAAAGCTAAGCGGATCTTCAAACAAAGGAAGTGGCACACCTCTTGACCAACAGGGTGTCAAACGTTGGCGTTGTGCTTAGGATAGCGATTCTCAGTCTCGTAGATGCGATTATAGAAAAGGTGTCCTCGCTGACCTGAACCTGCTTGGTCATTCTTTAGTTGTGTCTTTTGCCGAATGAAAGTGAACCAGGCCAAAGCCAGTTGCTGACAGCGAGCGCTGAGAAGCTGCGTCAATCAAAACTGCTTCGTCGGCATCTGCAATAGATTCGTTGCTGCGCAAGCCACGCGCGAGCTTTGATGTTTGTCCATGATTGCTTCTACTGCCCAGTTCTTCTTCTTTAACCTATAATTATCCATCTATCTTATCTACCTATCTATCTATATCAACTTTATCATTCCGTTTGTGCCGGCTTCCAGCTGGTTTTGCTTGGTTGGAGTCACAGTTGGCGAGCGACTGTACCCATGCAATGTTGGAGCTGCTCTTGTGGCCCGGGCCAACAGGCTCCACAAGCGGCCCACCGGCAGTGTCTCACGGCTCCCGTGGTGGTGTGCATCCTGTCTTCACATGGCTAGCCAGGTGCTGTGCGCACATACCAGTCTTCACGGCTTCACGAGAGCGGCACCGATGCGGAGAGTTATACACAATCCCCCAAGACGCGCCAGTTTGGGAATCTGTGCGGAAGGGCGCCTAGTTTCAAAACCAGCACGGTTGAATAGCCTTGGTTCGCATCCTATACATGATATGGGCTATGGTGTTCTTTTGTTCTCTGGTTGGTGGTTTGGCTCTGGGCTTCGGGCCGGGTGACTGATAAGGATGAACGAGCCTTGCACCACTTTGAAGCTGCGGAGGCGCCCGTATGGCACCCATAGGCACCGTCCGTGGTAGAGATGGAATCGCATACAGCTACGCAAATGTATATATATATAACTACAATTAGATATACTGGTTGGTTGGTCCCCCTCTTCGAATACACATTCATGGCTTCAACGCCGGCGACGCGTGCCTGGCGATCCAAGCGGGATTCCAACTTCTTGCAAATGGTGTGCTCGTGATAGAACCTGGCGACTTCGGGAAGATGTCTCCTTTCATAAACTATTGATGATGAATGAATGAATGAATGAATGAATGAATGAATGAATGAATGAATG